AACATAGATAATCTGTTGTTAGCTGCCATGTATCGAGACGAGAACATAGATTGTCTGTTGTTAGATGCTATTTATCGAGACGAGAACATTGTTAGTCTGTTGTTGGCTGTTATGTATCGAGACGAGAACATAGATAGTATGTTGTTAGTTGCTATGTATCGATGCGAGAACATAGATAGTCTGTTGTTAGTTGCTATGTATCAAGTCGAGAACATAGTCTTTTGTTAGCTGCTATATTTATCGAGACGAGAACATAGATAGTATGTTGTTAGCTGTTATGTATCAAGTCGAGAACATAGATAGTCTGTTGTTAGCTGCTATGTATCGATACGAGAACATAGATAGTCTTTTGTTAGTTGCTATTTATCAAGTCGAGAACATAGATAGTCTGTTGTTAGCTGCTATGTATCTATACGAGAACATAGATAGTCTTTTGTTAGTTGCTATTTATCGAGACGAGAACATAGATAGTCTGTTGTTAGCTGCTATGCATCGATACGAGAACATAGATAGCCTGTTGTTAGCTGCTATGTATCGAGACGAGAACATAGATATTCTGTTTTTAGTTGCTATATATCCAGACGAGAATATAGATAGTCTGTTGTTAGCTGCTAAATATCGACACGAGACCATGGATAGTCCGTCGTTAGCTGCTGTTGTTAGCTGCTATATATCGAGACGAGAACATAGATTGTCTGTTGTTAGATGCTATTGATCGAGACGAGAGCATTGACAGTCTGTTGTTAGCTGTTATATATCGAGACGAGACCATAGATAGTCTGTTGTTAGCTGCCATGTATCGAGACGAGAACATAGATTGTCTGTTGTTAGCTGCTATTTATCGAGACGAGAACATAGATAGTCTGTTGTTAACTGCTATATATCGAGACGAGAAAATAGATTGTCTGTTGTTAGATGCTATTTATCGAGACGAGAACATTGATAGTCTGTTGTTAGCTGTTATGTATCGAGACGAGAACATAGATAGTCTGTTGTTAGCTGGTATGTATCGATACGAGAACATAGATAGCCTGTTGTTAGCTGCTATATATCGAGACGAGAACATTGATAGTCTGTTGTTAGCTGTTATATATCGAGACGACAACATAGATAGTCTGTTGAAAGCTGGTATGTATCGAGACGAGAACATAGATTGTCTGTTGTTAGCTGGTATGTATCGATACGAGAACATAGATAGTCTGTTTTTAGCTGGTATGTGTCGAGACCAGGACATAGAAAGTCTGTTGTTAGTTGCTATGTATCAAGCCGAGAACATAGATAGATTGTTGTTAGCTGCTATGTATCGAGACAAGAACATAGATAGTCTGTTGTTAGCTGCTATGTATCGAGACGAGAACATAGATACATCGAGACTAGAACATAGATAGTCTGTTGTTAGTTGCTATGTATCGAGACTAGAACATAGATAGTCTGTTGTTAGCTGCTATGTATCGAGACTAGAACATTGATAGTCAGTTGTTAGCTGGTATGTATCGATACGAGAACATAGATAATCTGTTGTTAGCTGCCATGTATCGAGACGAGAACATAGATTGTCTGTTGTTAGATGCTTTTTATCGAGACGAGAACATTGATAGTCTGTTGTTGGCTGTTATGTATCGAGACGAGAACATAGATAGTCTGTTGTTAGCTGGTATGTATCGATACGAGAACATAGATAGCCTGTTGTTAGCTGCTATATAGCGAGACGAGAACATTGATAGTCTGTTGTTAGCTGTTATATATCGAGACGAGAACATAGATTGTCTGTTGTTAGCTGCTATTTATCGAGACGAGAACATAGATAGTCTGTTGTTAACTGCTATATATCGAGACGAGAACATAGATTGTCTGTTTTTAGATGCTATTTATCGAGACGAGAACATTGATAGTCTGTTGTTAGCTGTTATGTATCGAGACGAGAACATAGATAGTCTGTTGTTAGCTGGTATGTATCGATACGAGAACATAGATAGCCTGTTGTTAGCTGCTATATATCGAGACGAGAACATTGATAGACTGTTGTTAGCTGTTATATATCGAGACGACAACATAGATAGTCTGTTGTAAGCTGGTATGTATCGAGACGAGAACATAGATTGTCTGTTGTTAGCTGGTATGTATCGATACGAGAACATAGATAGCCTGTTGTTAGTTGCTATGTATCGAGACGAGAATAGTCTGTTGTTAGTTAGAAAGGAAGTTTTTTTCTTATTCAATTCATCTTGTATAGAATTAATTATTAATGTGAAGGTCAAAACTCATTGCCTTTTTAAAGAAGTAGCTATCAGGTTAACTTGAAAATTGACAAAATTTTCTTTGTTTTCAATGAAGAAGAAATAAAGAAAGTGAAAGAACCAGATATTGATGAAGGTGTACACTAATGCAAACAAAATATTACTATACTTATGACATAATGAAATAAGTAATATGTTTTGGAGGCTTTTAACATAAAATCAATATGATGTTTCTGAGGCTTATGTCATAAAAATCCTTTTTAACATTACAGCATCTTGATTTCTTTTTGTTATATTTCAGGAGGAAATTGAAAGAAATTACAATGTTTAGCTTGTGAGTTACATCTGAACTGTTTCCACCTTTAATCCGTGAGACATTTTCGACACTAACACTGAATATTGATTTAATTTTTCTTACATGAATTAATTTCATAGTGATGAATAAGCTTATATTATGTAACTGTGCTTTTTACTTTTCTAAAAAAATCAAATGAAAATAACTCCAAATTAGTCCAAGTGCTCATATTTTGGTGTTTATTGTACATTTTAATGTAAATATGTAAAACCTTTTACTTTCATATTACATATCAGAATGTTTAAATTAGATAATCTTTTCTATTTTTTGTTGTGCGAATCTTTAGTTTCCATATGTGATAAATTGAAAAACTTTGTCTTGATTTGTTTTATTTATGATAAAGTTTATAACATAAAAAAAAATGTTTATAGGAAAGGTGGTGGGTTGGTAACGAATTCTCTTGCAGGAGCTGCGTCATTTCCGGTTAACTCTTTCTGGAATTGCAAGAACCACAGGCATCGGACGAAGAATTGGAATGTCCCAAATAGAAGTCAAATATGAACCCGATACACATAAAAAGGATGGAAAACCTCTTTACAATCCCTTTAATAAGCAAAGTTTTTTCCTGGCACAATATACAATATTGCAATTATAATTTTCCATTTTTTTTTATTTCTATTGACTCAAAACAAAGCCATTGTTCAATGTTTTCTGAATCAACACATCAAAGTAAACTGTTTATTATCATATGAACCACATTTTTTCCTCCATGACGACAAGAAACACACTCAGAAAAAGATTAACTTAATTATCATATTAATGAAATATGACCAACAATAATTATCACATTGGACATAAATAACTAGAATTGGTAAAAAATCAAACTTTGTCATAATTTGGCTGTAGTTGTAATTATTTTCATCTATTTTGGACTATCGTCCTTTAAAATTGATTGGACCTGTAACTTTTATCAATAATTAAAAACTTTCTCCAATAGAAGTTTTAACTAACTACACAAATAACATCATTCACTTGGATGAGATAAATAAGATAAACCGCAAATCACACTACAGTACTGTTAATAATACTGTGTAGACAATGATTCAGCGACTTTCTACCGGCATTAGCTTCAAAAACAACTCGAAGTGGTGTCGTCTCACTGTTAGAAAACAAAGAAATGACTGAGATAGTGACAATTAATTTCATTCCATTCTCTGTCAGGTTCCACGGTCTCTATATAACCTTTCTTCTTCTAGGGTTAGGTTTCGGGGAAGGGAGGGTTTGATTCTCCCAAATGTACAGGCCTAAACTTTCTATCTTTCACTTTAACGTACGAAGTATTCGACATAAACTTAATTTAATTAAGGAAGATGTCGATGAAAATCTAATATGTAGCTTTACCGAAAATCATTTAGATCATAATGTAAAAAATGAATCTTTGACATGGCCAGGTTTCCACACACCTATCCGAAAAGATAGAAATTCCTATGGGGGTGGTGTTATCGTATATGTCAATCAAAATGTCACTAACTTGTAAAAGGAGATTAGACTTAGAATTCCCCAAGATTGAAAGTGTTTGGATTGAATTCAAAATACAGAACACTACGTATCTTCTAGGCACATTCTTCAGACCCCCAAATAGTGAAAACTATGATCTATTCTGGGCCAACTTTGAACGATCTATAGAAACTGCATATGATTTCACAACCAATGTTCTTGTCGTAGGCGACCTAACGAGTACAACAGCGATTTTACACCAAATTTTGTTAACTAATAACTTAAAAACTGTGTTAATGAGCCCTCTAGAGTAACAAGCTCATCAGCAACCCTTATTGATGTCATACTAGCAAATGATTCCATATGTTGCGATTTCTCTGAAGTTATTGAATTTGATAAAAAATATTTCAGACCATAAAGGTGTGTGTGCCACATTCGATATAGCTGTTTCTCAGCCATTGAATTTTACCAAAAACATTTTCATTTATAAACTTGCCAATTTTGAACTATTAAACAATCTTATTAAAAATTTCGATTGGATTAATACTTTTTACAATTTAAACACAAATTCGGCATGCGAAATATTCTACAAGATTCTGAACAACTTCATTGATAAATATATACCACAGAAAAACATTACTATAAGACCCTCAGACAAACCTTAGTTTAATTCAAATATAAGACGCCACATTCGCATTCGTAACAGGCTTAGAAAAATTGCAAAAAGATCTAAATCTGTAAATGACCTGATTAAATATAAAAAACAACGTAATAAAGTGAACAATCTTAAAGAGGTTTTAAAACAGGAGTATGAAAATAAAATCCTGGAATGTTTAAACTCCGGCAATGCTGTCTCGTCCAATAATACATATTGGAATGCCTTGAAAAAATTACTTAACCAACATGTGTCGCAAATAATACCCCCTTTAGTTTCGGAAAATGGAACTGACATGATTAGCACAGATGATGAGTGTAGTATTGTGGTCTGAATAATTAGAACTCGAAATAGAGTTGTTTCCCTGCATAATTTTAGTTACTGGATTATCAAGATCTTTATATAGTTTGTTTATGTATGACGCCATTGTTGTTGATAATTAAATATATAAATTAAGTTTTTGCGGATTCTATGAGCTAGTGAGGCCATTACATATGGCGACGAGGATGGTGCCGGTTTAAAGAACTTTTTAGACTAAATGTTATG